TTGCGAGCCCTGGAAATTCGGTAGTTTTACGTTATAATTGGCAAACTACAAGAGAAAGAAAACAATTTTTCAGACAAAAGTTATTTCTTTTAATTACGACTGTACCTCGTGATAAAAGATCTTTCGATTGCTTATGTAATTGAAAAGGAAAAAATTGCAAATAAAAGTAATAATGATCATTTGTTCATGGGAAACTCTTATCGTTAGTTGAAATAATTATAAAACAGCGTAATATTTTTTTCTTTACACACAGTATTTATTACGTTCGTGAATAGTGTCCATTGAAGTGCTTATTTCGAATAAATAGTATGGAACATAAAAAAAGAATTGAAAAAAATAATTTATACAAGATACCCAAAGGGAATTGCGGAAAATAAGAAAAAAATCAATAATGACAGAGCTTATTTGCGTTTGAGGAAAATATACTTAAAAATGAGTCGGATAAACATGTATTGAATACTGCAGTTTTCATTATGCTACTGCGACTGCTTTGTACGATATTTTTCCATGTATGAAAACATTCATCAAAGTACCTACGCATATCATGTTTCCTACGTATTTATGTATTTACACAAGATATATATTTTTAATCATTTTGCATAAGATATATATTTTTAATCATTTTGCATAAGATATATTTTTAGTTCTCGCAAATAATTAACGGTAAAGTGTGTCATTTTATTATTGTCAACAGTATTTTGATGAGTGAAGACTTATTCAATAAAAACTATTAATTACTTTTAGCTAGTCTTTGTAGATGAACAGCAGATATACATGGTGATACAGAACATGTGGAAAGTATCAGCGGGAACTGATTCAGCGCATTAAAATAAGAGGGAAAGTTCATGTAAACGTATGTCTTATATGCACTTGTCTTCAAGTTACAGCTTACTTTGTATTTGCTTATGTGTCTAGAGAAATTGCTCGATATAACCTTCAATATAGTTGTGTACACATCGTATCATGGACTGTCGAACTCGGTCAAACAAACCAGGTGTCGCACAAATTTGTTGACAAAGCTTTGGACGATACGTTGACGAAGTGTTTCAATGTTTTCAATTGCCATTTTATGAACCACAGACTTTGAATGTTCCCATAAATAAATAATAGTCAAATTTAAATCCGGAAATCGAGCTGGCCAGAATATTGGACCAATACGACCTATCCATTTGCCAAGAAACTATTGGACATCTAGCCTTCAATCTCTATCAAAGTCTATCTACGCGAAAGATTATTACAAAGCTGACTCGAAAACAAAGGTATATAGAACATATGTTTATACGAATTTTTCTTCTTATTTTAGTGTGCTAAATCAGCTCTACTTTTTACATGTTTTGAATCACTCTGTATATTAATTCTGTAATGAACGTGTAGTAAATGGTTGTCCTGCAAGTCTAATTTAGAATGAGACACCTATTCATAAAAAGGAAATAGAGTTACATAGTAAAAAATACACTTACCAGAAGACATTTCATTTTCAATGGTATCTGACGTGACATTGGAACTATTAGAACCGTAAATTACATTCTGCAGATTCTGTGGATGTAGTACATATATGTGGATGTGTGCGTATATATCCACCTATGCGCGAAGAGTTTTTAGCCAAAGAAGAGCAATGTGTATTAGAACAGAGAGGTATTAAAGACTTTAGAATATAAGTATATTGGAAGAGTGGATAAGCTTTCTCTAGAATTATCAATCGGGGAGAAAGTGTCGAAAAATTTCATTTGTACAGTAATTGTATAGGTGAGTCGTAAAGTAACAAGGTACCGTCATGTTATGTTGATTTGTATCTGTGTAAGATTATCTTATTCAAATTAGAAACGGACGAAGGGGAAGCACAACGAAAAAAACTCCTGAATACATTTATAACAAATTTGTGGAGAGAAAACTCATGCAATTATTTATGATTTGGACTTTCGAAAGTAGGCACTAGAGATTAATGAAAAGATAGGTTCGGAAAATTTTAAAGCATCTCTACATTGGATCTTCAATTTTAAGAAGAAAATTATAGTCAACAAAAAAAGTAAACAAATTTAATACCCAATTATTATACGATACTGTTGAATAAAAGCATATTGTATCTTACAATTCTCTTCTTTATTTTTATCTTCTTTCATCCGGTATGTTTACCTATTGTATAACGAAAAGCAAAATTATATCATATCAGATTAGCTTATTTTTGTAAGAGTTTGGAAAAGATTATTCATCTTACAATATTCAACACACATAAGGTACGATGGAAGTCAGGAAACCTTCGATCTTTAAACCGATGAAAATTTCGCAAAAAATTATAAATATTCTATTTTTATAAATTTAAGTAACTTTTGTCTAAAAAAATCCTATCTCTTACGAACTGTATTAACATAAAATCGAAAAAATGTTCAGAGCTCAATCACACCCATCTTAAGTGAACTTTGTCACGAAAAAAGAATTATGTAATGTGTATCTCTATATGCTCTACTTACCTTCAAAGTTTCACAATTATCTGAATTTCCGAGGTGAGTGTCATTTTCTCTTGTCAAAGCGAACGGGTCTAACAAAGTCGCGATTGGAATCAGAGTTCGAAATCAAAAACCATTTTCGAGATGTTTGTCGGCTAATTTTCACTGTTCTCCGGTAGGCGTTAAAGAGGAACACGCACGATAAAAGTACAATCGCGAGCGAGGGTTTTTCTATTCGCGGTGTATCAGGGATATCGCCACTGCTAATCTACGGGACCATTAATCTTAAGGTCAACGCGCATATCGTCTCGTGCCAGGTTAACATCAGTCAGAGTTAAGACAACGTCTTGACTACGGAATCAGAGAAAATCGATTGGAGTACAGGTTGCGCGCGAAACGCTAGTAAATATGCTCTCTAAGTTTTGCTGATGGCAAAGCAAATAAGAGGAGCGTGCGAAATCGTGGCTTTTGCCTGTTTAAATGCCAGGAGAGACCGATTTCTCCCTTCTTGTTTGGATATCGCTCGAAACTTGTCGTTTCGGGAAAAGTTTCCATCACTTCTTCGCCACGTTGCCAGGGTTATACGTTTGGAAAAGTTGAGCGTCACGGATGAAAAAAATTTACGCCAACTGTGCCTGCCCCGACAAATTGAAAACTTAGAGATTTCAAAGGGCTTCCTTCGAAGCTCGGTTTATTAATTCGTCTACATCGCCTACGTGCGTTAAACAAGATTCCTTTTCGATTTCTTAAATCACGCCGCGTACAATAGTAGATTCCATTGCGGAAAGAAAAGTAATTTCTACACTTTCGTGTATCAAACACGGATATATACGTGAGATGCATACTAAATATTGAATCAGCATTAATTAAATGCCGGAATGTATTTCAGAGATCCATAAAGCGAGATTACACATTATCTATATGAGTAACGCATCGTTAATAATGGATTGATTCGCAGTATTCCTAATTGTGAAAATTATTCACATCGTACTCAACCATCCGTATTATTCGAACCGTGAACGATCGATTTCATTTTCTCACTTCCAATCGATCTCACCAACGAATGCACTTCGTCAGCATCAGCACTTTTGTGCCTATCGTTTCTATTGGTACATCGACGAAGAAGGAATCATACTGCAAGATATCGAATAGATTCACGATAACATATATAGCTACTACAACAAACTAGCATTGCCATTTGTTTGGCCATTAATCAAGTTATTAGAAAACAACTATTTGCTGAAATCAGACCAATTTCGAAAGGTTTGCTGCTATCACAGAGCTGGGTTAAATAGTAAATGATAAATAATCCTATTTATTTTCATTTGATGCAATAAGTATTTTCATTTCAATTAATTTTCTTTATTTTAAATATTATTGCTAAAAGTAATTCACATTCAATATATTTATGAGCATAAATAGTTTTATATACTGTGTACTGAAAATTGTACAACTGATCGGATGATTTTTTTGTGTGTAAAAATGTAAATAATATTTTTTGTTTGGATTATTGCTAACAATAAGATAAGAAATTACATTATTGCATAAATACTGCGGTTTCTCAGATATTTCAAACAACGCAAAAAAAAAAGAACATTTAACATTATCAGATATTTAACATCAAATATTTTTACCACCATTATATATTTATAATTTGTTTTTACTTTAATTCCTTTCAATACCTCGACGATAGAAATTTCAACATTTACGTCAAAGAATAAATCGGAAAAACCTCATTACTTATGGACCCAGTGCTTTAAGCGAGATTAAGGTGTTTTATTTCATGCTTTAGATTATTAAATTAAAGTATTTCATATTTCAGATTATTCAAATAAAAATATTTTATTTTGCGGTTTAAAGTTGTTCAAATGAAAATATTTTTTGTTTGTCGAAATATTGCAGCTTATTTAAAATTTTATTTAAGCCGAAAGAAAAAAGAATCTAAGATATCTAAAATATTTACCTCTCAAAATATTATCCAGCTCTGGTTATTGTTATATTGTAATCAAGCTAAAAAAAGAAAGCTTTAACTTATAGTTAGAAAACAGTTGATCTTATCACAGTCTATTTTCTAAAAAAAAAGAAATAAAAAAAAATCAAAGAGAACCGACGAAAATAAAAAAAACTTCTATTTTATTAGACTATAATAATAGATTGCGGAATTCTGTGCGCCTACAGGAAATTTTAGAGTATTTAATATTCAGTGCTTTCGATAACATTTCGTAAGTAAAACGATTTTTTATCGAGGTTCTATCTTCTTTAATTAAATTCTCGAAAATGTGAATTCACCCAAAAGTCTGTAATTTAATAGCAATCTACATTCGAATATACACATATGTTATATATAATTACAAGTACTAAATAGTTAATTCGTGATATTTTCTGTCCAGTAGTTTCGATCGATCCAATTCGGCAAAATTCAATGGAGAATAGTAAAATTATTCTGAAGAAAGACAAATCCGACGTGAGGAATTATGAGACCCTGTGACACGATTGTCTTTCATTCTTTATCCTCGCTCGCTTGTTCAATCGCGCAACTATGCGATGCTTGCCTAAATGGAATCTATGATGCCGAATTGGTCGCGCGTGCAAAATCAAACTAGCACCAATTTTCGGTCTTGCGTTACGCTCGCTGGTTTTTTCCATTCCCGATGTTCTCGTATTTTCTTTCAGCGTCATCGCCACAGCCAAATACGAGGCCAGGTATAATGCACTTACCGTCCCGAAAATTCCTCCTGGCTTATCTCTGCACGGGGAAAAGTTTGCTCAGGTTTGGTTGACTCGTAAAATCGCATGGATATTTTTTTTCTCCTGTTTCTTTTTTATCTGGCAGTTTCGCGAGGTTTGTTATCAACGAACGCTCCAAGATTTGAACGATCGTGAAATACCGGCTTTTTTTTATATGTATATAAAGCCGATTATTTAAACTATCGGTCGAACTGCCTCGTGCTGTTCAGGCTTATTGATTTTTTTTCTTTTTTTGTTTATTTGTTGAGCGAATGCACTTCGCTAACAGTTCTTGAAGCGCACGCGATTTTCTCAGCAAAAGTCAACAGCTTTTCCTGCTTTAAATGCTTTCGATGAAAGCCCGCCGATTTATTAAGACCGCAACACCGTTAGTCACTCTTACAACGTTACAAATCACGAACCAACACGCTTCCTTCCATTCGTCCCATTTTCCCTGATGCTTCATATTTCATCGCGTTCGTTGCACATTGACGACAACGATACTCGCCATTCGGTATATCGGTATGTTTCAGTTACTGACAAAGGATTTGTATCTTATCAAGCTTATTCTTGATATATTTCTTTGATGGTCAATCTTTTGCTACAGAAAACGACACGATCTCGAAAGCAGCAATTTTCACTTCAACACCTTGGAAACTGGAAAGTTGGAACGATCTGTGCAGAAACTTTAGTTGTGGCGAAGCGAACGTTTCCAAACGCTTAATTTCGCTACACATTCGGAACAAATCACGGAAATCACTCACACAGAACTGTAAAGAGTTAAAGACAGAATTTTAATAATAAAATTTAATAAGCAGCACACAAAAGAGGCTAGACAAAAGAAATTCATCAGAAAATGATAGCAATGAAGCAATAACATCTATGCGGTGTATTTGTTTAGTTTAACAGGCATTTAGTTTAAGGCTTCCAGAAACAATAATGTTACAACATTTTACAAATTACGAGCTTATAGCAGATGAATTCGAAAGAAATAGATGATTTTTAGAAATGCTATTGCAAAATTGATCGGAAAGGCGGTTCCCCGTAAACTCTCCGCCATCTTAGTAGCACAAACCACTTCGCTTCAAGGTGAATTATCTCGAAATATTTTCCGAGCGTCCTCCCCCCTCCCCCTCCCCTCAAAAAAAGAAGAAATGAAAAAATGCGAAGAGTACACGAACGGATGGAAGATTGAAATTCTTCGTTGGCTATAAGAGCGAGTTATTGGCAAGATGAATACGGGTAGTGGTTCAAACGAAGCGTACGAGATATTGGGTTCTTCGTCAACTTTTCCATACGAGGGAAACTGAAACTAAAACTGGGCGCAAAATGGCGCAAAGCCGGAAATATTTCGATTTTTTTTTAAATTCGACCACGATTTCTTTTAAATATGCGTCCACGTGTAAAATAACTGTGAAAAATGGAACATCGAACGTAGATTAAATCCAATACAGGTAACGATGATGTATTAGCTATGCAATGTAACCGAACGTTATGTAAATCAAGTTCGATCTGTAGACTCTGCAAACTCTGTAACGAGTCACGATTGCTGGCAATAACCATAATGGGACTTTGCATTGTTCATGCCAATCATGCTATGGTCACCGTATTTTAGCTCCCTTCGTGAATTATTTCTTCTCGCTCCGTTTGCAAAACTTATAATGCTTATAAAGTGAATGCTGTTACATTTGTAAGAACATATTTATAAAACGATGAGTGAGAAAAGCATTAGTGCGATAAATGAAAGTTTTGTTTATTTAAAATACTTTAACATAAACAAATAAATACTTTTAGAAAGACGGACGGTAATATGGACCAAGAGTTCGTAATTTTCTTTTTTCTTAAAATCTGATGCATTGAAATCGCTGTTCAAAACTAGCAGCGAACGAAAATAACAATTTATTTGAATTTAATACACACATATTGTGAAAATCGTTTTAGAAATTTGAACGAGAGTGAGGGCAGGTTATAAAAAAATAATTCCTTGATAACATTCAGAGGAAAATAGCGAATCAATAAACTAAATTTTGCTCTTTCTAAAGTCTTGTATTTTTCACAAAGTACGCATTCATTACGAGTTTATAGTGCACAAATTCCATGTTATAAGAAAGATTTTCCAATGTCCATGGAGTTTTAATTTGAATAATTTTCGAAAAAAAATGGCACCTTCGTCTCTCACCCTCTACATAATGTAGAAACGTTGAAAAAAAAAAGAAAAAAAAATGAAACGTTCCGAAAGTAGAGGCTTCCCGTTAAAATGAGTCTAGATTGATTGCTGTGTGATTCTTTTTCACAAATTGAAATATCAATTTTCAACGAGAATTCAAGTGTCCGGAAACTTATAGATGGTAGTGTAATTGCATCTCTTCATTTTATATGATACATAAAATGTTATTGTTATTCCGAATATTGTTATTCCAAAAAAATATGTTTGAACGTGATTAAAATAGGACTCTGTTTAAATGAAAATAAAATAGGACTAGAAGACAATTGTAGCATTAAATAGAAATAAAATAAAGTAACAATAAAACAACAATAAAATAATCCAAAACACAATGTGCATGGTACAAGATGTTTTATATGCCGCAGCAATTTCACTATACTATCTTCAAATCTAAATATTATAGAAAAATTTATGAAGTTATTGAGAAAGAACAATTGCAAATTATCATGCCTTTCAAAAAATATTTTTAAAAAATCGTATTATACGTTTAATAAGTTAAATTTTTGGTGTAGTAGAAAAGAAATACAATAAATACCAGAAATTAACAAGTAAATTAATTTCCGTTATTCCTATATTCAAATTTATAATTTTTGTCACGAAGATGACCATCCACGAATAATTAAATCCTACGTGTATATTTTCCACTGAATTCCGGATATTTGTGAATATTCTCGTAAAAAGTATGAAAGTATTGATTTTTATTTATGGAATTCATTTTCAAGAGTTCAAACGATGTTTATACGTAAAATGTTTTTTAAAATAATTTTTTACAAAATTTTCGTTGAAATTGTTTACTGTTTGAATACACAGAAATATCGATTGCGTTTACGTTGTCGGAAAATAATAGTCGTCACCGGAAATGATTGTTACAAAATATTGTTGAAAAAAATTATTGTATAGACATACAATAATTTTTGTCAACTATAGAAACATCAACGGCGGACATTAATTTCGCCCATTTTTCCTCCAAGTTATTCAAAAAAGAATCTATTCACTCACTATGAAAGTATTCAAATGCACCGGCAGCTGGAAGAATCTTCTTTTCCTTGCGAGAAGATTGAACTCAACAAAATGTGAAATGTAAATCTTCCCCGCTCCTCTTAAGAACCGTTGTTGGTGCCATTTAAATTTTATATTTTCTATTTCCTCTTTATCTTTACCAACCGGAAAATTCTACTGTCATCCTTGATTGTATACCCAACTGTTATTAACGTAATAGTTTTCAATCATACTGGCGCGAACAAAATCCACGCCACCTGTCACTTTCTCTCAACTTTCCAAAACCCGATATGTATTTGCCAATCATTTCGACTTCCATTTATGCGGTGAAACGTACGATTGTGAACAGAAGGGCTTTTTCCAGCGTTGCAAACTTTACATAGTAATTATGTAGTGTCCATTAATTGTCACTGAAATATCGTATAATTAACGCTGCAGAGGAAATATATACCACTGTACAAGAGATTGCATGTAAGCGCAACAAGTGCAGCGTTTTTCTCGGTGAAATATTTACGAGTGGCGGTCCTCGGAGCCTGTTGAAGTAGGCTTTCATCTTCTTTTGTAACGAGTCAAGATGAAAGTACTCTTCCTTTTTAATACGTTTTTCATAGGTATTGAAAGAGAAATAATAAAGACACGCGGAAACGTTTAACGTTGCAGAAATACAACGGAACGTCGAGCATTGCGCCAATTGCATGAAAGAAGCAGAGTATTTTCAATTATATTTTTGGGAGGGCGACCTTTAAATATCCAGCCGCGTATATCCCGTGGCGAATCCATAGCAAAATGACCAGCGTTTTAATGGTTGATTGCTAGTTTGAGTGATTAGTTTTTTTATACACGATCGATGGAAATCCAGCGCCGGCAAATTCCGTCGAAAAATTCATGCTCAGGGTATTATGCTCATCGAATTTATCCCGGTGGATAGTTCAATTTTTTAGAAAAAACTACGCGACCGGCACAACACAGGAAAATAGAAAATCGAAAAATGACAAAGTTTAAGCGATAATAACTACATGAAAATCTTTCATTTCATCATTGTTAAAAACGATACTGCAGTTTCCAGCAATTCCAAATCCGTATTTTCAATTCGCCGATAAAAAGAAGAGGCAAAAAAAAAAAAAAAACGATTAGGTTAGATTAGGACGAACGAATCATATATTCCTAAACGAAAGTTTCACAATTTCCAGTGTCTGGAAGAATCGTGCACTCTTTCTTTGAATTAGAACTACAAAATCTCTCAACTTCCGTTTCAATTCGTAGAATATGCAAACTCTCGTGTGAGATATCTCGATAACAGTTTCATAGAGTAATTACAGAACTTGCTAAAGTAAATGTTCTTACGTACCAGTAAAAGGTTTACACTCAACTTTTCAGTAACAAGCTACGAACGATAATTGACGTAGTTTGCACCCCTCATAAAGTCATAGTTTTTGAAATATTGCGTCGATGTTCAGTTGGCAAATAATTCTTATGAAAGCATTCGCCTAGATAGTTGAACGCGTGGTAATTAACTTGTCGCTCCCATTAGCCGTTTGGTCGCCTCGTAAATTAACAACGCTTGTTTGCTAATAGTTTTGAAACTATTTGGCCGTCCTTTTGTCTGTATCGCGTTCATTATTATTAGTTTGCGATTTACTCCACTCTGTGATCAACTGGCATTATTTGATGAACGCTCAATGGCCGAGAACAGTACCAAGAATTACTGAATATTCGCGATGCAATCAGTAGATACGACGCGACGTCGCGGTGCGACATGTCTACGCATTCCGATTGTTTCGACTATTTGGTTTTCCTCCGAATTTGCTAAATGCAAACAAGCAAGACATTAGGCGGGTTGTAATCCGATATAGAACGTAACAGTGAAGAGCACAACTGAATCACGATCAAAAATTGTCGATAATTTTAAATTGTTATAACTTTAAAAGTAAAAAAAAAAAAAAAAAGAATCATATAACGATACCTTTCATCTCGTTCTATAGTGCAAGATCTCTAATTTCACAGTCTCGAGTTCGTTCTTTTCAAAGATAATTTTACGTCATATAATGGATGGGGAAGTGAAAGGTTTCTTTTCCTCGAAAACTGTAAAAATTCGAACGTCTCTGAAAACGATAGAAAAAGACTGAAATCTCAAAAACCTACTGTATAACTTTTTATTGAATTTTGAACATTAGGATTTTTTGAATTTTATTAAAGATTGCATAGCATGTTCTAAAGACTTTGTTGTCCAGATTTCGAAATGATGATGGATTTAATCGTGGAAACACTTTTTCAATACTTTCGAAGATGTTTGAATTTTTACAATTGTCGAAAGGAAAAGTATTCCCACATCTCTGCTCCTTACATAGTACAAAATCATTTTTGAAAAAAAAAAAACGAATTTAGATTAAAGTAGAAATTCTATACTTTAAAATGAGATCAAATAGATTGCTATATAATCTTCTTTTACAAAATTATAACTAGACCGCGAATTTTTATGCACTTATGGTAAATTTGAAGATGCAAAGATGCATACGATGCACGTATGATTAGTACATAAAGTGAGAGATTAAAAATACATAAACTGTGCAAAGTATTCA